TGCAGCAGTCTTCTCACAGAATGGAGCTACAGGCTCTTAGCTGTTTTCACCTGGGGCTCACCACGGCATGTGCAACTGGGGAAGATGATGTGAAGCCAAGAGGATCACAAGGAAGTTGGTTATCTCTGCTCCAATAGGTAGGATGACAAAGCCAGGAGGTCAAGCCATCAGAGACAGCGAACGACAACTGAGGGTAAGAGACTTCCCATGCAGTGAGCGTGTTGCTTTCACTACGAATAAGGGTAAGGCAGGGGAGGAGCGGTGCGGGGGGCGCAGCTGAAATCAAACTAATGTTTTACCTAATAGAGCAAATCTTCCTTCTGCAGCTTGGCAGCCAACAGCCAAGCAAGATTAGTTGGTGGATGTAGGCGAATAGATAAGATCTTCAAAGAACTTGTCAATTTTCCTTTGCCTTCATTCCTCCTCTTGCAATGGGTAAGATAATAGAAGCTAACAAACACTGCAATAAAACCAGGGCCTTTCTGCTTTAGTCTTGAGGGGGTGAAGGCAGACACAGGGATGATTAATCAAGAGTTACATTGACTATTTCCTGGTTTGTTTTGTTTCCATGCTCATAAGACACCCAGGAACAAATCATCACTCAACGGATACTAACACTTGAACTGTAGGGAGGAGATCCCAGTCAAATCACTCACACAGTAGGCCAAACTGTGCTCTACTCCACAGCTATATAGTCTAGCTTTATCCTCAACTGCTCAGTTCCAAGTGTGTGCACACGTGTGTATGCATGCATATGAGCATCATGTCATGTTCCGTGGGAGAATTACTCTACAGTAACTATGGTTGTTTGAACCATTGCTACACTACATCAGTGTGGCATGGCAGTGGTGGAATTTTTATTTTTTTTTTAATAGGATTGATTGTCCCTGTGTAAGGGCATAAAAGATAAAAGCAGCCATGGTCCTCCTTTACAATTATTTCAAATTCAAAAGCTATTGTAAATGAGGTCTCAGAAAGAAGAATGACAAGTCCAAGACACAATGCTAGAAGAAGGTCAAGCGCTTACTTCACTGTCACAACTTTGCAGACTTTCGCTGGCATGCACCTGAACTACACAAGTAGCAGCCCCTTCACCTCTTGTGGACTGAGTTCCTGATGTTCAGCATGATGGGTACCAGCTAAGCAATAGTGCAAAGAGCTGCAAAGCATAATCTGCATTCAGTTTCCCTTAGAGAACATAATTGGGCATTCTATATGCATGTCAGGCAATTAAAGAAGGCAGCGCAAGCCTGAGTGTTACAGCCCTGTTAATTTACTAATGCAGAGTCTCCCGTACATCTGGCACATGTCACTTCTTTTCTCCTGGAAATGAAGGTGGTTTTCCAGAAGACTGGAGGGCAGCTCGAGCAGTTGTTTCCTGCCTGATGCTTCAAAACATTACACCTGAAGTTCCTCATGTCAGCCTTGAGCTTGACTAACTTCAGTCTGCTGACTTAATCCCATGGTTCGATTTTCCTCCCAGCACAGTGTTTAACTCGACGCTTTTGGTTTAACTCCTGGCCCTAACTACTGGGTTATGTCACTCCTACCGTAATTCCTCACACCTCTTAATTCTACCTCTTGCTATAGCAGAAGTGATGGCTTTCCCTAGTCAATCAGATCAATCAAATGAAAAGTCATACTCTGCAGATCTGCCTTGCTGAAATCTTTCTCTGATCAAGACAGCTGCCCATGAAGATGTTCTCTTTCAGGAAAACAGGCATTACTATTCACAGGAGATTTATGAATCAGACTCCAATCCCTTCAACTGGCATTAATTCAGCTGTAAATCTAAGGCACATCCAGTGGGCAGTAAGGACTCTACAAACGGAAGTCTTAAAATCGTCCTGCAAGGAAGAGGCAATGGTAGCAAGCATCACTGTTGTAAACATGAGGTAGCATATATGTTTGAGGACTTTCCTCAGGCCTTCACAAAGTAAAGTTGTCCTCTGGGAAAAGTAACTGTCTCGGGCAGAAGCCTTTTCACCTCCATTACTGGTAAATACCACCACCCATGCCAAAATAGCAAAGAGATTCTTTTCGTTTTTATGAGTCAGGTAAAGGACCAGTATTGCTTCTTGTGCAGAAGAGGAGATAGGCAAAGAACTCATAGCACATTGTGGCAATAGAAGGTTCAACTGCAAGCAGCAGTATTCAGTAATGGTTAGTCTGCAACGATCTCAGACTAAGCCAATTTGAGTTGGACAAAGAGGCTTTTGGTTCTCAAACAGTTTTCACAAAAATCCTGGAATTCTCATCTAATCTACTGACCGGCTAATGGAGAAGTACATGGAATGGAAAAGGCAAGTGTGAAAACTGTTCTATGCCAAAGCTATCGTCCCTTACTTTTTGCAGTCCCATGTACCCTTAGGAATGAGTGCAAGGTCTTCATGGGGCTGAGGACTCTAAGGCTTCCTTTAGGAGCATGATGCATGAAACCCCTGGCATTTTGTAAAGTCTTTTGCTAGTCCTCAATGTAAAAAAACCTCTTTCCCAGTCAGCAGGAGAGCTCAAACACCATCTTGTATCTCTCTCTATATTGCCAAAGCTAATAACCACAACACACTTCCTTATCATGAAAATTACCAGCCACCTGGAGGCTGTAAGGATTTGTGAGGTCATTTGCAGTTGTCTTGGCAATTACTGGCTCTTCCTATACAATTTTCTCCAACTCTCCCCCATTGTCTTTAAGTACCTTGAATAAAAAGGGAGTTGTATCTGCCACATTAGGCAATAGTATCAACCAAATACTACTTCACATGTCGTTGTTCATAAAAGCAAAGAAACCCTAGATTTCCCATGTGGGCAGTTCTTATTAAAGCTCCTTCTTACATACATTTTTTCCCTCTTCTTTGCCAACGAGCCAGGGTCTGAATACTCACAAAACATTTGACATTTTTCAGGGTCACGTCCTGGAAGAGGTGACAGAGTGTACTTTTGTCAAGTTTACAGATGGCACAAAACTGGGACAAACAGTCAGCACACTCTAGGGCAGGACTGCCATCATGGGGGGGCCTAGACAGGCAAGAGGATGGGACTAATGGAAACTTTGTGAAATTCAAGACATTAAGATCAGCATGTAGGAAGGAAGAGCCCATTGCAATGATACAGGCTAGGACCTGACTGGCTGAGGAGCAGCTCTGTGGAAAAGGACTTGGAGATGCAGGCAGACATGTCAGCTGGACACGAATGAGACAGCAGGATGTCCTGGCAGCAAAGGTGGCTAACAGTGTTCTGTGCTCTGTTAACAAAAGCATAGTCTGCTGACAGAGGAAAGTGATTAGCCTCCTCTACTCAAAACTCAGACCATGTCTAGATACTGTGTCCACAAGACAGACATTGACTTTGTTTAGTTATACAAAGTTCCCATTAGCCCATTCCTCTTGCCTGTCTAGGTCCCACTGGGTGGCAGCATTGCCCTTGACTGTATTGAGCACTTTCCCCATTTCGATGTCTTCTGTAGATTTTATGTCAATGCACTCCCATTGCCTCCTCCAGGTCATTGATAAGGTTGTTGAACAGGACTGGTCACAATACAGACCATTGCAGACCCTTGGTGTCCTTCCTCTGAGTAGCGAACGACCCATTAACCATGACCCACTGAGCCTGATCATTCAACTGGCTTTTTATCCATCTGGTTGTGCAAGATGGTGTCAAAAGACTTGCTAAAGTCAAGGTAATGACATTCACTGCTCTCCCCTAGTCCACAAATACTGACAATTTATCATAGAAGGCTGTCAGGTTGATCAGCCTTCAGTAAATTCATGCTGTTTGCTATCGCCTTTAGTGCCCAGAAACGTGCTCCAGAGTCACTTTCCAAACTTCGCAGGGATTGGAGCAAGGCTGTAGTTCCGTGGAGTTTGCTTTTGGCCTTTTCTGAAGACTGGTGTAACATTTACTTTACTCCAGTAATGAGACCTCCTTCACCCTCCACGTTTCAAAGTTATAGAGCGCAGTCTTGCTACCACATCAGTCAGGTCTCTTAGCACTTTTTGATGCAGCCTGTCTGGTCTCATGGATTTCCATGCATTGAACTCTTCCAGTCGCTGACTTGATCTGCAACTGCCTCCTACCTGAACTCTTTCACTAATAATAGAGGTCTGGGAGACCTTGCTAGTGAAGACTGAAGCAAAGAAGTCATTAGGTGTCTTGGACTTATCTGTATCTGCTGTTACCAAATCACTTGTGATCCCTTTCTTGATGCAGCATTTCCCTTTTTCAGCTTTCTATTACTACTGCAGCAGTAGGAGCCCTTGTTGCTCGTAACATTCCTTGCAACTTTCAAGGTAAGCTTTGGCTTCCCTAACACCATCCCTCTATGCCCAGACAATTTTTCTAAATTCCTCCTTTGTACTCTGTCCCTACTTCAACCTCTCAAATGCTGCCTTTTAGCATTAGAGCTCTGCCATCATACCTGTTCTTAACAAAGCTGTTTTCCTGATAATGGTGCTTATTTTCCTAAGTATTCTTGCACTTAGAAAATGGTGTCCTTAAAAACTTGCCAGCTTTTCTGAGCTCTTTTGCTCTTTGGAGCTGTCTCATATGAAACTCTCCCTGCCTGCTAAATAAATAAAGAATAAGCTGAAGTCCAGTAGACTGAAGTTCAGGGTCTACACCTTGCTAATCTTGTTCCTCACTCCCTTCAGGATTCTGAACACCAACCAGTTATTTCATGATTGCCACAGCCAAGGCTGTCACTGACTATCATGTCTTCAGCCAGTTCTTCCTTGATAGCAAACAGCAGATCCAGCTGTGCCAACATCATTTGAGCCATCCAGTACCAGTATCAACCAGTTATTCCAAACACCCTTCAGAACCCTTCCTCCTTGCCTCCCACCATGTTGCCCTTCCAGAATATATCCAAGTTCCCTGTGAGGACCACGTTCTGTGACACAGAGATTTCCTCCACTTTTTAGAAGTCTTACTCTACTTCCTCACCTAGATCAGGTGGTCTGTAACATACTCTCATCATGCTACTTTAAAATTTTTCACTGATCAAGTCAATAGCCTTCACCTGCCCAAGTGATTTCATAGTCTGGACAACTGGCTTTCAACTTCTCTATAGGGACAGAATGATTTGCTCTCCCAAAACCCATAAACATAGATGGTCTGGTCTTCACTTTGGTGAAGGATCCTTCTGGTCTCCAAGCGCTCAGAGTCATATGTGGTGGTCTTAAGCTCTGCCCAGCCATGTTTGCACACAACGTACTTGCTGGTACTGGTCCTTGTGCTAGCTGTGGTGCATACACACACTAGCACGTACCTGAAGACACTGACAGGATTAACATCCACATCAGCAACATGCGCCAGTCCCTTTGCCACCATCACCACCCTGGCCTGCACACAACACTGCCACTAAAATCCCAATTTTACACACGCAGGTCATACAGGCTTTTTCAGGAAAAACCACATTGACACCACTTTCAAGATGACTGGCTTCATCTCAGTGAAAAAAAGAGGCAAAGCTGAAAGTGCCATGAAAAAAGGAAGCTTCTTCCTTTTGTTTCCACAGATAATTATTTTTTGTGCTTTCTTCTGAGAATGCCACATGAAGAAACTTGGTAGATTGATGCTTCCTTTAGCACACTAGAATGTCTTAAACCTTCTCTTATCACAACTAGCAATGGTCTAAAAACCTTCAAGATTAGCTGGCAAAAAGGTGCATGAAAGAGCAAATAGGACAGAGAGATTCTGTGGCCAACAGTGCAGTGCATCGACAAACCCATAAAAATGTCATAAAGAGAAGTTCCTTTAAGCCCGAAACAGTGGCTTTCAAATAATAAGTGAATTCACTGACACTTATACGACAGGAATGACTGATTCAAATTAATCAGTTGTTTTAGCTTGCATTTTCAGCTTGTCATTATTGACAATATATTCACATCAGATTAACAGACTGACCTTTTTTCTTCTTTTCTTCAAGTGACTGTAAGATTAGCTTTTTGGACTTTTGAAGTGGTTGGCCAGATGCTTTCAAAAGGAAGTTAAAGTACGTGAGTTTCAACCTCATTAAAAAGGTCCTTTTTTTTTTTAAACAAACTTTTCCTTTTGTTCATATCAGCACTTACTTTTTTAAAAGACCCCAAGAGAGTTCCAGACTATAGATCGCTTGTCCTGAAGAAAGCTCTGTTAACTATTTATAGATCATGTCCTTTTGTACCAAACTAGATCAAGCAATTTATTCAGTGCATGACTGCAGGAGAGAAATTCATTTGCTCTAAGTGTCATCAAGGCAGCCTTTTACCTGCTATGAACAAGACCAGAAGATCTGAATTGCTGGGCTTTTACTTCAAACACACATTTTGACATTGTGTGGGGTGTCATCATTTCTTTCAAGTTTTCAAAGTATTAAGCACATTCATAGAATGGGCAGTCCTTAATCAGAAGAGCAAATAGCCCATAACCACAAGAATAAAGCAAACACATGTGCACACATTCAAATTATCTCTCTTTTCTTTAAAGAGGCACATATAGATGCAAATTACCATTAGCTGCTTTGGTATATCTCATTTCAGAAATGGGAGCATGCCAGCCTACAGACCAAGGAGGGGAGCACACAACAGGCATCAGCTCCTCAGCTTAACAACAACAGAATCAAAACAAAGCAAGAGAAAGAAGCTATGGCCTTCATCACCTCTAATCAGCACCGGCTTTCTTCGAGCATTCACCAGGGAAGTGATCCTCTTTGTAAAACCTAGTAGAGAGGCTGTACACAGCAAAAATGCTCCACTGTGGCAAATGCTTTGGTTTATTACTTCAGTTTTCTTTGTGGGGTCATTACTAAGATGATATTTCATATTTCTAGCCTGCCTGAGCCCACTAAAGTTAAAAAAAAAAAAAAGAAAAAGTTAAAAATACAACAAGAAAATAAATCAGCTATTAAAAATCATTGACATTTGCTGGCAACAGCTTTAGACACAAAAAGCACAGCTGGTTTGGGGAAAACGGGTGTCTATTGTTATAGGACCAGTGCAGAAGAGAAGAAAACACATGCCTTGCTTTCCTTTTCCAGTTGCTGTACTAAGACAAACGTCCTGGCTCTGTCTAGCTAAATACGCTCCAGCCTGGCTACAGCTATTGCTCCTAGATGGCTGGAAAATGGTGCAGGTGGTTCACTGTTTGAACCACCTGCTATTTTCCTGCACATACAGGGCACTTTCAAAGTTGCATAGCACTCCTGCACTCCAGCTTTCCTTGGCCAATAGGGTAATGTGTTGGGGATATTCTTGTTTTCTGTCTTGAATAGAAACCAATGACAGAATCTGGGTCATGAAAAGCATTATGCTGGGAGTTAAAAATACATCGGTAAAAGAAATAGTGATAAGATAGACACTGCTGGTTTAGTAGCTTTTGCGTCACAGTTCATGCTTATGTACTGAAATCGCTACTCAAGCCTAAATGACTTTCAGCTGTGCAGTTTCCGTTCTTTCCCTTCAGATGCACACAGGGATCCCAAGCCCTATCCCACTTGACAGTATAAATTCTTGAAGAGTAGAATGACATTACCATACCAAAGTTTCACTACAAAGCATGACAGACTAAAACTCACACTACTATTTTAGACAACACATTTGGAATAGATTTTTTTTTAAAGCATTCATCCAACAGATACATTAATTTAGTGAAGGTTATGCAATAAGGATACACAAGCTAAGAACTGATTTCTTTTTTTTTTTTTAAATAGAGACACAGTATCACCAGAAGCTGGATTTCATAGCTTAGAGTCAAGAACTAACCCATTTCTGCCTTGATTGCCAATGTGCTGCTGACAAGTCATACATAACTCTTAAGTCTCTAATTTTTGTTTTCTTAACTGGGAGAGAGGGGTAGGAATTAATACTGGCTATCAAGGAACTCCCAGTATGACTGCCCAGATATCTATTTGGAAAAATATCAGAGAGTATAAATTAGGAAGATTATTTTTAAAGGAAAATATTAAAAAAAAAAAAAAGACAGACCAACATACATACATACATCTCCACCATAAAAAAAAAAATTCTTAATTCCTACTGGTATCCTTCTTATCTCCTTTCTAAGCTGAGAATTATGTATTAGGTAGACTTCCAAACTGGTCTAAAGAAAGCATACTACAACAACCTGAAGAGCATTTGAAATCATGAGGGCCATATCCATCAACTGAGAAGTGTTTTAAACATACATCACTTACAACTTGATACAGAGCGCAAACAAAATCAGTAGGCTCCAAAATGGCTGTTAAGAAAAGCATCACTTTACTATATTTGAAAGTTGAACCGTACCTCGGCCTAGTTAGAGGGTGGATGCCCACACTGAACAGAGTCTGCCACTGATTTCAACTACTTTTCCCATTGTACCACCATGGCAGCACCACTCTTCACATTAGTAAACAGCTAGAATAAGTAACAGTTGTTTTGGGGTTTTTTTAAAAAAAAGAAAGAAAAAATGTCTTTGATTTGACATTGTGTAGTGATAAGAAGAAAGTACAGTGGGCAACTGGGTATGGATTTCATCCAGCAGTTCCAACCTGCTGCTCTCAGCTGTCACAACAGGATATAGGTCACCAGCAGTCCTTCAGATATCCCCAGCCCAAGGTTATTCACCACTTAAACGAAAAGCTTTACATGCAAAATATCTGCTATTGCATATCTTCCCCAAACTGCCCCAGATGCTTCAAGACAATAAGCGTATCATGGAATCAAACCTGATTCTTTTTAAAGACAAACCTATTTTGATATCATCTGTGATCCAATGTATGTTCTTTAATCCAATAGCCCAAGGGAATACTTCTGTATGCTGTATCAATCCATTGGATTAACAAAAAAGAAAAGGTAACAGCTAGACTAGTTATACAGTCTCAAGTATAAGAAGAATAGTGGTTGTAGGAGACCGTTTCTTTCTTACAGCCAGAAGATAAAAAAAGCTACTTTCATTTCTGAAATTAAAATAAGCACTGAGGAAGAAGAGACTAGATGCAATAAAAAAATGCCTGTTTACCTACTCTCATTGTTTGGTTTGTTTCCAAGTTTAATAACTTCAAAATCAAAGCAAGTGTTTTAACTGATGACTTTCAAGAAGCTTGTTAGAAGTAATTGCATGATCAGATGCTCACCAAATCCCTTCCACCATTCCCTGCTCTCCAGCTACACACTTGAATCATCCTTCTTGGGCATATACGACTAGCACAAAGACAATAGCACTCATTTTTATGAAAACACACCAACCATCTTGCAGGCAAAAGAAAGAACTCTAAGGAATTACCAGGAGTAACAGCAGACATATTTCCTCTTTAGAAACCCCTCTTCTAGCTTTTAAAATAAGCCCAAAAAAGGGAGTAAGAACATCACCACTCCAGAGGTGTCAGTGATAAATAGAAAAAGGAGGAAACACAAGCCAGTGCACAAGGGATAAGGATGCAAAGCTGATGCAGCAGGGAGAAGATGAGATATCAGAAGAGTCACAAGCCATTTACACAAAAGAGGAAACGTTAAGAAGTTCTGAAGTGTTTCCATAAGCAGAACAAATCAAGTCATGTAGGAATGTAAAAAAGATGTTTACATCTAATGCTATTTGCCTTAGCAGTTAATGGGATTGCATTGTTTATGTTAAACTGACTACCATGAACTCACTCAAAAGGCATAAAAGTACAGTTTGTGAATAGACACCTCTTTGAATTCAGTATTTCCTCATGGTTCCACCTACTTACATTTCAATAGGTGATAGCGGCTTGCTCTTGACTTTTACCAGGGTAAACTCAAATTCACCATGCTAATAGAACCAGTTAAACAAGAAACAATATTTCCTTCAAAAACACCATATAAATTAAATTCAAGTTCTTTTTGTGTTCTGGATTGAGCAATCTTAATTACATTTTTAGCACATAAAAGTTGATATGGAAACTGTTCCACAAGTTGTTTGGAACATTCTTTTTTCCGATCTGCGTAAATGTAGGGGAAAAAGTGAAGTCCACACCCTGAAATAATTTGGCATTAGAGACAGATTACCTACATCCTTTAGCATTAAACAGAGAATTTCCTCAACAGAGAAACCTCATGAAGTGATTATAATACCATAACTACAAAATTGCAATCAGCACCTGCTAAACAACCTCTTTATTTTAATCACCTATAAATATTCAGACTTTGGGCAAATAAAAAAAAAATACATCTTCGTAACAATTGTCAACAAGAACAGAGTAGGTTTTATACTGTCCTAAACAAAACATACAGTCGCCACACATTAAGCTGCACATTTACTACAACACTGAAATTCTGGAGATCTGATCTAGCGTCTAATTGCTAACTAACCATACAAAAATGCACGGACAATACAAAACAATTATGAGATCT